AATAAAAAATAAAACTATGAAGTATATATTTTAAAAAAGGTGCACTTGAGAATCAGGAAGTTATAAAACTTCAAGTTATGTCAAGTCATCAAATATTTGGATGGAAGCCCAGACAGAAGAGGTTAAAAAGTATGTATCAGCAGCACATAAACCTTTGAAGATCTGATTCAAAGTTTGGACAGGAAAATCCTGACGACTGGGAAATCAGGAACACACTGCCTATTGGGAATTTAGAATTATCAATGGCAAAATATAATTATTTTGTATATTATTTGGTGACTATAAAAATATCTATGAGGACTTTTATCAGCTCACTTGCCACCTGAGTTTCATTACTTTTTAAAAAATTTTGTCAGAATGTCCTAAGTTTTTCAACTATGGATTTTCCTATCATGGGGTTTTTAGCATAATAATCATTTGTCTGAGAATATTTTTGGATCCCAAATCAGGAAGCACAAATATGACAAATGGTCTTACAATTAAATAAAATATTTAATATAAAAATAGTACACAAGAAAGAAATCTGCAAACCATGTGCTATTACCATCACAAGACAGCTCTCATGATGATGCCTATCTCACAAGATCCTTGTCAGGGTGTGCCTGTCACAAAGCAGGCATTTTCCTGTAAGGAAATTAGCCTTCTAACTTTACCACCAGACCTTATTCAGAAAAGTATTAGTTAATGTCAACTCTCTGAGGACTTTCACTCCATCTTCAAACTCAAGCAAATTGAATTTTGAATAATCTATGTTAATGCCTGCATAAACTTTTTATTCAGAGTTGAATATGAGGGAACTGTTTTGAAGCCTCGGTCTAAATATTTTACTGATATTAGAAGTAACCTAAGTTGCACTCTATAATTTTGTTGTATTTCAAACACAAGAAAGTGGTATTGTGGAATGTAACCTAAAAATAGTATAAAAATAAGAACAGAAAATAAAAGAAAACATCTTTTGTTTTTTTGCCATTTGTCTTTAAATTTTGATATAGGTTTCACTGTTGTAATAGAAGTTTGCATCTTATATAAAATTCTACTTAGAAATATTGGCCATTGATTTGTAGTTTTATAAATCTAGTATGGAAACAAAAATATATGTACTTTCTTCTTTAAGAAGATATTGGAACTTTCAGTTGAAAGAGAATCATACATGAAAACAAAGATAATTCCTATAGTAGTTTAATTAGTACTTTAAACCTAACAACTAACAATTATGAATGCCTATATTTTGAAGTATCCTAATTTGACATTTTTTTGCATTTAACACCAGAGTGCTATAATATTAATGCATTTTAGTAGCTTTAAATTAATTAAGAATTGTAATCTCACATTGTATTCAGTTTGCTTTTAAGATTATACTCATATAAGGCACATTAAATATATTTAATCAAGAAAAAAATTTGCAATTAACAGATTAGTGTCAAATAATTTTTCTCCTTATATTATCTGTACTTTTTCATTTTTGCAGGACTAATATTGCTGTCTTATGACTTATAGGCATTTCATACAGTTTTCTTAGAATACAAAGAAAATTAAAATGTCTCAAAACCGTTTTTAATTCATCAAAGATTCTATAAGATTCTATACTGAACATTCCACTTCATAGAATTTTCTGTATTTCTCCTTCCTTGTGTATTGATATAAATGTAAGCAGCATGACTCATTAGGTTTTGAAAAAAGACAAACTTCCCCAGGAAGTCCTACCAAGGCAAGTAAATCTGAATCTCTCACTTCTGTCTATTTTCATAGTAAAAGTGAACATAACCACCTTCTTTGTTGGTGCAAAGACCACCAGTGATGTCTGTTTTTGTGTGATTTGAGCAAATCACACAAAAGGAGGAAGGCTTACTCTTACTGGAAACCTATTAGAACCCAAGTCCACAGAGGAACTTCAACAATTTCAGCATCTTATTGAAAACATTTTATATATGTACCTGTTTTGTAAGTGATGCTATGGTAAAAACAATAGTACAAGGTCAAGCTCCTGAAGAAATCTTATGGAATTTATTTTCAAATTTAATAGAATTTTTTTCCTAAAAAATGACACATCATAATACGTTCTGCCAATCTTTATCTAATTTCAGCATTCTTCTTAGATGAAATGTTTAATTAAAAATTTATAATTTTTGCAATGAATACACAAATATTTTTGCCTAAGAAGGTAAGTGGAATTTCAAATATTAGTATTCTTTGTATATTAATAACACTTCATGTGTGTTCAGAAATGCTCTGTGTGTTTTCTCAAAATTTTCAAATTCCCTCATAGAAATGGAGTGCAAAAGAAAAGAAAAATGGAATGTCAAAATGTCATTTATGTAAAAATTGTTTAATATTTAACAATTTATCACAGAGAAGTTTGCATTACAATTTGTTAATATATTAACATTTAGCATTAAGACAGCAGTGAATCAAGTTTGGCATTTGTTGAAGATTCACTCAAGTAGAGTAATCACAACGTGGTCATCTCGGCCTTGCCATAACATCTCTCCTTCAAAGTCCACCAGTCCATGTTTTCTGGCACGCATGAGAATGCCCACAACTTTATCTGAAATACGAACATATCTATCAAAGAGATCTCCAAAAGTAACCTGGATCTTGCCATCTCTCCTGTGGAGAGCCATTGTGCGGATAATGAAGCACATGTCCATGATTTCTCTGTAGATGTGCTCCTCAGCTCGCTTGGCTCTTTCAGCAGTTTTGGTTCCCTCCTTGGGACGGCCGTAGCCATCATCACCTTTGTGTAGGCGGGTGGACATGGCCAGCTGATAATCAAATTCTTCACTGAAAGGATTGAGCTTCTGAGATTGTATGTGTTCATCAGCCCACTGTTGCCATCTGCCTTTCAAGTTGTTCACTTGGCTGCATTTTCGTTGGGCCTTACAGTTGAGTTTCTCGGTAAATCTGTTTGCCCTAAAGGAAACAGAGGGTAAAGAATCAAGATATTGATATTTCAAACTCCCTAATGTTGCTTTCCCTTTATACTTCTCATGCATATGAATCTTAGTGTAAGTCTTTATAATTTTATTCATGTTTAAGACACAGAAACACAATTCTAAAAAATTAGAAGTGAAAGAAGAAAAATCATACACAGTCCCACTGTTATTCTTGGTTTGGTATATGTCCTTCTAGATGATTTTCTCTGTGAATAACAGTAATGCTTTAAGCACTATAATAATATTAAACTCTATTTCATAAAGAAAAAAGCTTCCTTACAAAATTAATGCAAATGTGTACATCTTAAAGTTACATGTTAGTAGCATTTTAGAAGTGGAATCATATAAGTGCTTTGGAAGCTAGGTATTTCCCAAAGATAAAGGTTATACCACCACACATACATTGTAATATATTCAGTCGTGTATAGATTTTTATGCATAGATTTTTTGTAGGATCAATGATGTACTAATTGTGAAATATCAGGTTGTACAGATAGAAAACACTAGCTGTAACATTCATTGGACACTATGTGCTGGCATTCTTCTAAAAACTTTTTGTTAATATTCCCTACAACCATTCTCTTAGGTAGATATTACTATTCCCACTTCACAGATAGGAAAACAGAGGCCAGAGATTAAGTAAATTCTTAATCACAAAACCAAGTGGTAGAATCAGAATCTGAAAAAGTTATGCTGGCTCCAGAGCCTGTATATAACTACTATGAGATACTGCCCTTAGTCACTGACAGAGGCAGGATTAAAAGACAAAACTGCCTGAGGCTAAAGTCAGTGCCCTTTCTACTATGCAGTGAGGCCACTTGGCATGCACTATGGTGTCTAATGAATGAGTTGTGTTTCAAATATGTAAGTACCTTTGGAATTCAATATGTATTTTCTTGCTTAAAAACAAAACAAAATAAATAACAAAACAGCTTTGGGAAGTGTAAACCAGTAGTGCCATGAAGGTGTAGGCCAAATTTTATAATGGGTAAAATTTATCTTTAAAAGACTTCCCTGTCATTTCTGTTTCTCCGGTCTCTCAGACTTTTTTTCCCCTATGTCTCTTCACCTTCATACATAAAACAGGAACTCTTGAACTGTTTAAAACAGGTTTGTTTTCTTCATCCTCACAAGCAGCCCACCCTCCCTTCCAACACCAAGTGGCCTCCTGCCTGTAAGCATTGGAATTGGAGATATTAGAGTAGTGCTGAAGTTCTGTAGTGAATGTCACACCTGAGCTATCTGAACTCTCACAATCCACTATTCAAAGCCCAGGAACAGATCAAATTTGGGTGTCCCTCACTATACAAACTTCCTAAAATCTGGTTGCAGGAACCAAACAGGTGTGGATAGGGAGGAATACATACTTGCATTAACATCGTTTTTCAAAAGAGCAATGACATCCACTAGATGGCGAACTTCCTACATTCAGTTTCACTATTAAGTAGAATTGGAACTGGGGATGCGTTGCTACATGTAACACTACTGCTGTTTACAGCCACATAAATACAAGTGAAAGGCAAAGTTAATTGGGGAGAAAGCAGCATACAAAAACTGTATACATAATTATTACAACTATATAAAATCACATGTATAAAAAAGTTTTATAGGAGCTACACCATACTGAAGTAGAAAGGATTTCTGTCAGCCCTGCTGGTCCTCAGTGTCACCTGCCTCTTCATCAACTGTCCCTGGTCAGCTGCCCACAGTATGGGCTGCTTGATCTTACTATCAGAAGACAGCAAACACCTTGTCCCCTGGGAACCATGGTGATCAATGACAGGCATAGTCTTCAATAATAAGCCCAAGGCCATCTTGGCGGATCCCAAATCTCATGACAGACTTGAGGCTGGGGCATCCTGCCAGAGAAGAGACTTGAAATATCTCAGAAAAAAGCAAATAATGTGATTCATTAGCTCATACTTTGTCTCCTGAGCACCAAACTGTGGTTCTGTCCCATAGTATAAAACATAATACACCCGCTTTTGAGGGGCTTCGGAGGACTTTGGCATTTCTTCCATCCTTTATTAAAGTATTTATTTATGACAACTACCATGTGCCAGACACTGTTTTAGGTACTTACTGGATATTTAGTAATGAAAAAAGAGCAAATAACTACTAAAAGACGTTCATAAAAATAATCAGAGTTATACAAATTTAAGTTTATGGTACAATTGCAACTATGTAAAATGTGTATGCACCAGGCTGAAAAAAATCAATAGCATATGCATAATTGAAAATAATTATGTTCTCATCCAGAAGACAATTTTTTTCATTTTTTCAAAATTCTTTTTCATTTGAATATTATATTGATTTTATATCTAAAAGAAAACAAAAAATAGGAATATACTGAAATTAGTATCCAGAGGTAATTTGTTTGAACTGTATGTTGTATGGGTCTCTGTTTCTTTGGTGTAGCTTTTTGTTTGTTTGCTTGTTTGTTTGTTTGTTTTCCTCGTTCTAATTGTAATTAGGAATTTAGATTCCCTGCTGAGTGTTGAAACTTAATGTCATTGGGATAAGGGTTGGGGTTGGTATGGTAATAAATCCATGAAGAAGAGAAACATTTATTTTCTAAAAAAACGCACCTTCTAAATCTTAATGTCCATTTGTTATAGTGTCAAATTGTAATTCTCAATAAAAGTGGAGAAGAAAAACAAGGGAAGTTGGACCTACAAGCAAGAACTAGAAAATAGGCAGGGCTGTAATACAGGAGGAATTTATCGTATTAGATATTTAAATTTCTCTCTTATAAATGTTCTGTATTATTTTTATATTTCTAATTTTTAAAGCCTGAAAGTATCAGGTTTTAATCAGGATTAGAAAGTTTTATAGCATGACTATCTTCTTGGTCAATGAATATAAGAATCAATATAAAATAATCTTACTTTTTAAATTTTCAGGTACAAATATGAATAGTAGTTTAGATAGAACTTTAGAAAGACGATGCAGTATAAATTGAAATAAAGCAAAGCAATATTCCAAGAAAAACTTCTCACCCATATTTTAGTATAACAATATTAAATCCAGATCCACCTTCTCAGTTTCTTGATTTTTAATAAAAAAATTTTCTTGTAGTCAATCAAAAATATATCCTCTGTCCTGCTATGCAACTAATTCAACTAGACATTATAAGCAATCTATCTTGGAAAGTTTAGCTTCATTCACTGAAATAAATTCTGAAAATTATTTCTTGTCTGACAACTCTAAAAATGAAATCAGTTTGAGTGCTGCTTTCTTATGTAAATGGGGCTCTTTAGAAGTATGGTGAGGATATGGGGACCAATTTTATCATAATTCTGTCATTTTGGAGTAATAATTATTTGGGTAAATTATTAGTATGTAATAAAATCCACAGGAAACAAAAGTTCTATAAGATATATTTCAAACCTAGCCAAGTTCTATGGCACTGAAAACATTCTCTGCTAGTTCCCTTCACCTGAATCAGCAGCTTCAAGATGTCACAGGGGCCCCAGAGACATGTTTTTCTGGTCTTTCTTGGATTTGTATGAAGAAAGAAGAGATGGGCTCTCGTTGCCCACCCCATAGATCTTCCTATAGAGGGGGCATTTCTCCTTATTGTGCAAGCATCCTTCCCTGTCAGTAAAGCAAAGAACCTCTGCCACCCTTTCCAACTTCTTGGAGAAGTGCTGGGGAGTGTTTGCCCCTCTGTGCACTGGTTTCCTTGCCCTTCGCCAGCCAATTTGCTTACAGGGAGCATGACATATATGGACTCACATTTCTCAGAAGCAGGGTGACTGCATTCAAAAGGAAGCATTTCTGGTCAGCAGTTACTCTCTCTGCTGTGTTATCAACTAGGGTTCAGAGCCAGGCCTGTGACTTTCCTTGCAGATTGGTGACTGTCCTCAGACTCCACGGAAAGGACCCCAACCCTAGGATTGGGAGTTGGTAGTAGAAGGTCATAATTTTGTCTCTGTGTTTTGTGAAATCTGTCAATACAGTTGCCCCTAAACTCTGAACTCTGCGAATTACTGGGATTCCATTAAATAAGCCAACACTTTGATCTCCATTTTATTCCTTGAGTCTGTTCTCCACTGAGAGAGAGAGTTGGTCTAGCACAGTAGTTAAGAACAAGAGCTCCAGCATCAGCCTTTCCAACTTCATCACTTACTAGTTCTGTGACTTGGAGACATTCCTTGCCATCTCTGTACGTCAGTCTCCTTATCTGTAAAATGGCCTTCTCATGCTCAACTACAACTATTTTTACCGGGTAGACCTTGGAGGAGAGAATGGATGAGTGATTGGTAATTTAATCTTGCACCTTTACTCTATGGGAGAGGGAATACAATTTTCCTTGTGTAAAGGAACTGACCAAGTCATATTCAATCAAGACACAAAATATTTTTTAAATAAAGCATAAAATATAAACCATTTTCATAGTAAAACCTCAGTTAGCAAAACCACTATTGGTAAAGAATTTCTCTGCTTTTTACTAAACTTGATTTGTTGGTTTCCATTATCCATGGAACATCTTAACCATCATGAAACTCTTCTTTCTTCTACTTAGACATCTATGACACTTAACTTTCTCTATATCGGCAGATATGGGGAGAGAATGGTGCCTACAATTAACAATAAGTGAACAAAAATCTCTTTTTCATACTGGCTTACTCAATAATGCCACTTCCATTTCTCAAGAAATATTTGAGAGTCCCATCAGGCAAGAAGACCCATTAGGCTTCTGCTGAAGTTTCCTGAGCACAGCTAGGATTACTGCTGTCATTAGGAGCTGTTGTTGATACATACAATATTCTGGTACCCTATGTACTCTAAGAAAGGAAAGGAACCAAAGAAGGCAAGAAGATATTGAAGATACTTAACCACTCCTCACCACCCACCCCCACCCCCCAGGAAAACCAGAAAGCCAGGCTCCTAGCATCTTGAAGGGTTAGGATCACCAGGCCTGGCCCCTACATTATAAATGGGTACAACTTACTAAGGAGTTCCCCTGGGTCCATTGCTTTACATAGTTAATATCAAAATAACCCCATGAAACATGAATTATCACATCCATTTTTTAGATGAGGACACAGAGACTCAAGATTGCCAAAGTAACCATGATTCAAATCTAATTCAAAGTTTATGTACTTATCCATCCATCACACTAAGAAGGTGCCCATGTACATTCCTGACTTTGGTGACCCTGAGAAGGGTCCTATATGGCATTCCCCATTTTTAGGTGAGACAGCTTAGAGTAGTGGTGGGCTCCAGACCCAGAAAGCCTGGGTTCAGATCAATGGGCTGTAAAATCCTGTACAAGTTCCCCAGTATTTCTTCATCTCATGTCCCCATTAATCAAATGGGGATGATGATTATACCTACCTCATGAGAATGCTGTGGGGATTGAATGAATAAATATATGAAAAGTGCCTAGACAAGCCAAAGCAGAGTCCAGCTCTACCATGCATTCGAGATTGGTCCCCATTGTCATTTACCCACCTCTGGCTAATTTAAAATATGTGAACAGGAACCCTCAGTCTTTATTTTGTTGGACTCTGTTATTCCATTTCTAGCGTGACCTCATGTGCATGCACACACACACACCCCAAAATCCACAAGGCCAGATTTTGGACTATGGTTCCATATGTTCCAGTAGAATAGTTATTTCTGATCATGAATTCCTATATAATGTAAGTAGAGCACAAATACAGATCTCTGAACTCATCCTCAAAACAATGTGTGAGAGAGAGTATCATGTCTCATTTCAAAACATTGCATTTGGAGTCAGGCAGGTCTCAGCTTTGTCACTAACTTGCTGGGTAAAGTTGCCTTCTGAGCTTCAGTGTTCTCATTCGTAAAATGGGTTAATACTTATCTCACAGGATTGTGAGTGTTAGAGACAAAGCATTTAAAATACCCACAGAACACACTAAATGCATGATAGATTGTTATAATTACCTACATTTGCCATTTCATTTTTCTTGAAAGCTTGCAATATAGTCGTTCTAATTCTTTCAAAACACTCTTAAAGACACAAACTGTAAGATAGCTCTTTGTCAAATCAGGTAGCCAATTTTGTTCTTTACTTTCTTACTGTTTCTTAAGACTTGAAAAGCACACCTATACATCGAACTGACCCCAAAGAGAGTCAGTTTTTAAGCATTATGACTTCAGAGACTTTTCCCATATTTTGATATCCTGTGGTTGTAGAGTGAGATATCTTGACTTTCTATTACGTAGTGTTACTTGTAAAAGCATGTGTTTCTTGTCTAAATAAACGTTTCAGTTTAAATCAGTATGTGCCTGTGTATGTGTATTTAACAAGTTTTAGGATTGTGATATTTTAATTCTTTCTGTCTTTGTTTATCAACAGGACAAACTTTTTGCTGAAAGTTTGAAAAGTTGCTAAATAATAAAATCTACATGAATAATAGTAGTTTTCAAATCATATATTGAGTATTGGCAGGCACTGTGCAAGGTGCTTGGCAGTACTAATCTCATTTGCCTTTCTCAACAGAGCAGAATTTATCCCAAAAGCTTAATGTTGCTGTTATTTTATAAATGAGAAAATTGGCTTAGAAAAAGAACTCATTAGGAGCAGAGCTGGCTCTGACTGTCTGACTTCAGAGCCTGCTCTCAGACAGCAGCCTTTGCCTGTTTACAGCATCATAGTGATGGGTGTTCCGTGGGCACTACATGGTCAGATGTATTCCCTGATAATATTATAGACTGATTTGGGACAGGGGCAAAGTTTCCCCAATCAGTTACTTTTCTCTCCAGAGAAACAAGCCAATTTGTTCCTCCGTATAGAATTGACTTAAAAATTCACCCAAGAGAGACACGCCTCTCTGATGGCTCCATCTTTGCCATCTTGGGTGTTCAGTTCAAACCACAAAAGAGAAACAAATAGTGCAGGCCGTGACCCAACGACCCATGCCTGAGGTTGGCACTGCCTTGCAGCCCAGGGGCGCGCCTTCCCTAGGTGACTCGCTGCCTGTGCAGCCTTTGAGGTTCCCAGGCTCTCTTGGGCCGTCCTTGCCCTGCTCTGGACTCCCGGCAGTCGTCCTGGCACGGGGGGCAGAGGGACGCGTTCACTTACTGGGAGGCCCAGGGGCGTCTGATCCTGGCGGCGGCCCCCTGCAGTCCGTCCTGCTGGGGCCTGTCCTCGGCCTCCCCGCCGTAGCCGCTGTCCTCCGTGTCTACGCTGTCGCTCCTCCACGTGGGCTCCTCCTGTGCCATCGCTTTCCAGCCTTTGGTCAGCCCCGACACCAGGGTGGCACATTTTCTCCTCCGCGTCGGGGAGCCATGGCTGTGGAGGATTCGGTCGATGTCGCTCTCCGGCTGCTCAGGTTCAGGGACGCCACCGTCCTTCTCGTACCGATGGCTGAGGTGGCTCACGTCCCCTCCTCTCTCATAAGCCTTGCTGACAACTGTTTTGGTCACCTCTTTCCTTTTGATATGGGAGGCCTCGGTGGCTTCCTCGGAGCCTTGCCCATTGCCATAGGTGTCTGGCGTTTGGGATGGAGACTTCGGGGCCCCCCAGGCTTTTGGGTGGGGCGTGGGGTGGATTATAGGTTTAGGAGGCTGCAGTGGGTCCTGGGTCCCCCCGGGCTGCCAGCCTGCAGGCTCCTGGGCCTGTCGGGTGCTGTTCGCATTCGCCCACTGCTGCCACCCTCGGGCCAAGCTGATGACCAGGGCGGCTGTGCGCACCTTCCGCAGGGCGCCCCCTTTTCTCTCGGCTGGCGCGTCCGCTCTTCCCTTCTCTCCCGGAGCCATGCTCCCCGTCTCCTCTCTACTGTTAGCCCGGGCGCTGGGTCCAGTGGGTCTCCTGGGATTTAAATAGCAGCTGGGTGTGGGGTGGGGAGGAGAGACTGGTGACGTGGAAACTATGTGAAGCATTTCTTGCCAAGATGCGGTGCCTTTGCCCTGATGCTGTTCTTTTTTTAAATCCTGACAGCTCCAGTTTCATCAGGGCAGAGGGACATCTCTGCTGGTGAAGGACAGTGATAGAAGCTCACTCCTTTTCTTCTCCAAGTGCCAGAATGGAAATTACTAGATCTGATCATGTGCTCAGCCTTATGCTTTTCTTGACCTTAAAATATAGCCCTACCATTTATAGAAGCATACAGTATGTGCACAAATTGTGCTAGGAACATTATAGGCTTGTTCTCATTTAAACCTCAGCAGCCCTCAATACAACTCTCAATTAGCCCCAGTTTATAGCTGAGAAAAATGAAATCTAACTTCTAGAACTAATAATACCTCACATTCAAACCCACATCTGTCTGATTCAAAGACTGTGCGTCCTTTCGTCCTAGTTATCAAAGATCCTAAGTTGCCTTTTCTTTTGCCTTCACCTTTTAAGAAATAGACCTTAGATCATCTCATCCAACCCTCATTTTCCAGATGAGAAAATTGAGGCCCAGATACGAAGACCAAGGTCCAGACGGAGGCTGTGTTCTAGTCCCAGGTTTGAGTTATTATACCCACAAGTCATAGTAATATTATATTAATATGACTTATTATAACATATTATATTAATATTACATATCATATGATAGTCAAAATTTGTGTCCAATCATTTAAAAAATTAAGTTAAAAGACCAGCACACACACTGAATTTCAAAAATTATTGTTAGAATAAATACTTTCTAATATTTCATTTAAAAAGTCTATATAAAGATAAAATAAATGAATGCTGTCAGGAGCACACACTCCCCGCCCCCTTTTTTTTGGTCGCTAGTGGGTATCAGAATCTGAACCCTTGACCTTAGTGTGACAACACCGAACTCTAACCAACTGAGCTAACCAGCCAGCCCTCCCTGCATTTGTTTGAAACGACAGAACCTTCTTTAGCACGCCTTTAGGTTCATGTTGGCAGATATTTTTTCAACCCTCAGAACAAAGACAGAAATATATATTTTTAAAAGGACTGGAAAGATAGATCATGTGGACAGAAAATGAACCACTCATGCAGTATATTAAAGCAAATAAAAATGCCCAAGTCTCAGCAAAAAAACAATTTCTTAAAGTAAGACAAATTAAGAGAATTTTTTTTTCCTCAACAGGTCTATAGGTTTTAAAACTATATCCTTTCCTTCAAACTTGACATGCAGTTAACCATACTGATCGAAAGCTGCTAAGAGCATAAAACAAGGTAGGAAAGTTAATTAGTTCTGATGAAAAAAAAGTCGATGTCATTTTTTATTTCGAAAAAAATGTCAATATCATTTTTTCATCGTGTGGGGTTTTTATCTCAGGATTAAAACAATTTTGGAAATAATTTAATCCTCTATCTATCTAGAAATCTGTCAGATATGCTTTCAGAGTTCAGCAGGATCTGATAACATTAAGGGAGAGCCAACAATGCAGAGACAAAATCCCTCTTGATTAATTAAGAGGAAATTGGATCACGAGGAAAGTAAACTACTACAAACAAAGATTTAAATCTGTCTGAACTATCTGGCATTCCTTCCTGGAATGCAGATACACTGCAGACTGTTTGGTTCCTGGCAAATTCCCTTCATCCCACTTGGAAGGCCTTGGGACGGAAGGGGGTTCCACCAAGACGCCCATAAGCTTAGCCCAGGATCAAGCTAATTTACAACTTCCAAAGGGATTTTTCAGCTTCGCTGCCCCCACCTGCTCCAGGTTCAATCCTGATACAGGGAGAAGAAATGGAGACAGCAAAATTTTAATAGTCTTTTACATATTAACAGGCATTGCAGTCAGCTGCCTGGGGCTTGGGGCCGTCAGCAGATGGTCTTGGCAGAAAACAGAAGCAGCTGCTGAGAGAATCTGGTCATTCTTTCAGAGATTTAGCCTCCATGGCAACTGCAGTCCTTCATTCATACTTCCACAGAAGAGAGAGTAAAATTCCTTTCCTCCTGTCTTCTTTGTGCATTCCTGCCCTCAAGCAAGGTCGGTATGCCACCTACTACGCATCTTTGGTAACTAGGGAGATGTTACGTTCTCTTTCTCAATCTAGATGCAGATTCTTAAGGAGTTCCATATTCTTCTACTTTAACATATGGTGTAAAAGAAATGAAAATAAAATCTCAAAGACAAAGGGTGAAATAAGAAGTGGTTTACAGAGGGAGTTTCCTATAAAACCATGAGATTTGAAACTGTAGGTGAACATGCAGCCCTGATTAATGGAGTAATTATTTCCTAAGAAATTTGTCATAAGTGTGAAAGTGTTTTGAAAAAAAAATTATTATTTGATCATATAAACAATACTAGAAAGGGGAGGGAGATGTTTTGATACACTTCTCTGCGTGATATACTTACAAGTCAGGTAGAGGCAACCCTCATAGCCAGCAGTATAATCTTACTAAACAGACTTCAGAAAACAACATTTGCTCAAAGCTTATATAAAGTAATAATTTATTTTTTTTTAATAAATTTTATTCTGTATGTTTGAGGTTTAAACATATTATGGGATTCATATAGATAGTAACATGGTTACTATAGTGAAGCAAATTAACATATCTTTCATCTCATGTAGTTCCTTTTTTTTTAAAGAGCAGCTAAAATCCACTTAAAAATCCCTAACACAGTTTAACTATAGTCCTCATGTTGTACATTAGACCTCTAGACTTGTTCATCCTACGTATCTGCTACTTTGTATCCTGAGTTAACATCTCCCCATTTGTTTCCTCACTGCACCTCTGGTAGCCACCGTTTTATTTTCTACCTCTGTATATTTGATCTCTCTCTCTTTCTCTCTCTCTCTAGATTCCATGTATAATTGAGATAATGGAATATTTTTCTTTCTGTGTCTGTCTTATTTCATTTAACATAATGTCCTCCAGGTTTATCCATGTTGTGGAAAACGGCAGGATTTTATTCTTTTCTAAGGCTGAATATTATTCCATTGTGTGTGTATGTGTGTGTGTGTACACACACATACACACACACACACACACCACATTTTCTTTATCTACTTGTCCACTGAGAGACACTTAGGTTGTTTCTATATTTTGACTATTGTAAGCAATGCTACAACGAATATGACAGTGCAGATGTCTTTACAAGTTGGTAATTTTATCTCCTTTGGATATATTCCCAGAAGAGTGATGGCTGGCTCATATGGTAGTTCTATTTTTAATTCTTTAGGAACTTCCATATTGTTTTCCATAATGGCTGCACCAATCTACATTCCCAACCAACAGTGTACTAGGGTTTTCTTTTCTCTATATCCTCACCAACATTTGTTATCTCATGTCAGGTCCACCACCAGCCGACCCGAACAGCCCTAGAAAAAACGCCTCGTTATGAGTCTCTCCCTTGGTCGGCCAGTGAATTGCCCGGATTCCTCTTTCCCTCCGGTCCCCGTTGGGAGGAGACAGGGGAAGAGAGCCGTGAAGAGAGGTGAGCACAGCCATGGGCCCCAACCAGCCCGTTAAAGGACACTCAGATGCGGTGGGGGTTCTGTCAAGCAGTTCCGTTTATTATCACACAAGCACTTGCTTTTAAGGGCAGATGGGGAAGGGAGGTTTTTACATCCTCCAATCAGCTTAAAGGTTAGGAGAGCACGCATCCTGTCTCAATGCCTAGCTATTGCAATCCCGCAGTGTTCACGAGCGTGGAAGCGTGTATTTGGCCAATAAGGGCTAAGGCAAGGTTCCCTCAGACACTCCCACCTTACTTCCTCCCAGTGCCGTCTTAGGCTGCCATGTTAATACGCCCTTGTGGGCCCATAATGGCGCTGCTTGTAATGTCACTTAAGGTGACGTTAGTTTTTAAGGCCCCCAAATCTCGTATTTTTGGTAACAGTCATGCTAACGGGTATGAGGTGATATCTCATAGTGGTTTTAATTTGCATTTCCCTAGTGATTAGTGATGTTGAGCACCTTTTCATAAACCTGTTAACCATTTGTATGTGTAATTTGGAGAAATGTCTGTTCAGGCCCTTCACTCATTTTTTAATTGGGTTGTTTCTCTGCTATTGATTTATAAGAGTTCTTTACAAATTTTATTAGTCCCTTATCAGATATGTGGTTTGCAAATATTTTTTCCCAGTCTATTGGTTGTCTTTTCATTTTGTTGATTATTTCCTTTGCTGTGCAGAAACTTTTTAATTTGATGTAGTCCCATTTATTTATTTTTGTTTGTGTAGCCTGATCTTTTGGTGTGATATCTGAAAACTTATTGCCAAGGCCAAGGTCCAGGAGCTTTCCCAATATGTTGTTTTCTAGGAGTTTTATAGTTTCGGGTCTTACATTAAAGTGTTTTTTCTACTTGGAGCTGATTTTTGTGTCTGGTATAAGGTAAAGGTCCAAGAATAAAATCCAGTTTTCCCAGCACCATTTATTGAAGAGACTGTCCTTTCTCCATTTTATCCTCTTGGTGTCCTCATCAAAAATTAGTTGATTACATGTGTTTGGATTTATTTCTGGGCTCTCTATCCTTATCCATTAGTCTATGTTTCTGTTTTTATGCCAGAACCATGCTGTTTTGATTATTACATTTCTGTAGTATAATTTTGAATCAGGAAGTGTGAGGCCTTCAACTTTTTCTTTATCAGTGTTGTTTTGGCTATTAAGGGTTTTTTTTGTTTTGTTTTAATTGTTCCACATGAACTTGGTTTTTATATTTCTGTGAAGAATACTATTAGAATTTTGATAGGGATTGTGTTGAATCTGAATTTGCCTTGGGTAATATGGACATTTTAATAATATTAATTTTTCTGATTCATGAACATGGGATATATTTCTATTTATTTGCATCTTCAATTTCTTTTATCAATGTTTTATAGGTGTAATGCACAAATC